GGGGGGGGGGGCGATGAATGAATACAAAATGTAAACATGGACATCCCCCCCACACATGCACACCCCACCCGCTCGTACAATCAAAGCAACTAGGCGCCATTTGAAGGAACTTCCATTCAAGTCTTCCAGGTTTGAATGTCCTCTTAATCAAAGGATACGCAAAGATATCCTCTAAGTTCTAACCAGCATTTATTGCAACTGATACTAAAACTTGAAACTCAAAACGTTTTCTACCAAGATCTAGGGGGCTTTGTTTCGATATATCGTCGGAATTTACTTCCTGGATCAGTCAGAGCTACATGATTGTATCTTCCCACTTTTCGATCACCATGCACCTCTGACCATGGCTATTGTATTTGAACAACAGGATATAATACGAATGCTATCTGCGCAGATAATGTCACCACAGCATTCATCTAATCTACAATATACATATTATACAGTTCTTTACAAAGTTTGGTCTGATACCGTATCTTGTCCATAGTTTCAAAACGAAAATGATAACTGCAATTTCTCTATGTTTAACCTGTTGCCTAACAGGTCAAATTATTTAAGTAGATTCTCTCAATCGAAGTTTTAGTCACATTGAGCTTACTGGAATGATAATACAGAAGCTTTCCCAATCATGAAGAATTTATAGTACACATTACAAATTAAATGAAAATGACACCAAAAGCTTATTCATGGCAACAAGAGCAATTATATATTATGTATGCAACATGTAGTGCCAAATGAACAGATAATATGTAAAAATGATGCGGACTGCACACTTATTGGACTGGCATGATCGAATTGGATACAATAATAGAAGCGACATGTTGTTGTTGTTTTCACCATCATCATCAACGTGTATCTACGAGTAATTCGATAGGGCTGTCAAAAACTTTTTTTCCATCTTCACCTGGGTTTCTGGCAAACAGTTATTCATTTGAGCTGTTTCATCATCCCTGTTTTTATGTGCAGCTTAATCTAAAAGAAATTAATAATTCAAATTTGAATCGTTTTATTTATTCATTTATTTTTTGGGAAAGGACGGGGTTGGGGGTTGGAGGTAATTATCAATCTTACCTGAGGGTAAAAGAATTTTTACTTTTCTTAAATTAAAATTGAATAAAGTTTGATAGCTTTCTGGATAATTATCCTTCTTACCTGAACGTTTAGAAATCATAAATTAAAATAGAAAGTTAGATCGTTTTATGAGTGGCTGTTCTTCCCATCCACTCGACAATTAATTTAGAAAATACTCATCTTTTAAGATGGATTTAACCAGCTTATTGAATTGTTTTCTGGTTAGTCTGCACCGCCTTTAAGTCTGTTGTCGGAGTCGGAAAGCAAGGAGGGTGTAGATGAAATCTGGCCCGTCCCGAGTGCGCCAGCCAAGCGCGGCATCCCGCATGGCGTCAGGCCTCTGGGGTCGCCTGCCTCGCCCCACGCCGTTCCCGATGACCCAGCGATAGCGCGGGCGCCAAACCAGGGACCTGGGGTGATCGCGGTGCCCTCCACCGTGTCGGGTGACTCGCAACTGAGCGGATCGCCGATTTCACAGATCGAAGGGAACACGGACTCGTGAGAGATTAGGAAAACGCGTAAGCCACTTGATTGTTAGAGAGCGCCTAGCCTATGTGGTTTTCTTTTCTTTTTTATGTAGGAGAGTCTGCACGGTTGATTTACTGGAGTATGTGTGAGGAATAGTTACAGTCTTGTCGTCAGACGCGAGGTCTGGCGAGAGAGGGGATAGATGGGATGGATGGAGAGTAAGGGGGCAGATTGAGAAATGGACAGACAGACAGACAGGCAGGCAGGCAGGCAGGCAGGCAGGCAGACAGACAGACAGACAGACAGACAGACAGACAGACAGACAGAGAGAGAGAGAGAAAGAGAGAGAGAGAGAGAGAGAGAGAGAGACACAGAGGAAAAGACACAGAGACACAAGAAAGAAGCATTATTTCATTATATAATATTCATCGTCAGTGTTGTTTTTTTCCTATCAAAGTATCCCCTCTTTACTCGTTTTTTTCAGCTGCTAGGAGTATAATGTGGTCTCGTTAAAAACGCGGTTTTTATACATGCACATAGTATGTAATATTTTTCCTCATATAGTTGCACATACACACATCGACGCTTTGGCGATGCATTGTTGATCTGTATTTAAGCTTAATCGATTACTCAATGGCTTTCAACAAAGTTGGACACCACGAACTATTTAAAATTCTGAGACATGATTATAGTTCTAATAAATAGAAACCTTTATCGTGATAAGAACGCAGCTGTAAGATTTGAGGGAGAGTACAATAAATATAGACAGATTTTAAAAAAAAATGATTTAGGCAATGTTATGACTACAAACCTCTTTGACATATTCAGTGAAACAATTTTTAGAAACACAGAAAAAGGCTCAGGGTTCAAAGGGGATGCAGAAATATTAATGTCACCAG